CTGACGAACGCCACTTGTAGTCGGAAAGCTATCCGACAGGACACCGTAGACCCTTACGCGGCCTGTAGTGTTCGAGTATAGAGCACGAAGGATGTTCACATATTTCGTGGGAACACCTTTCCGCGCAAGTATTTCGAACAGAATCAATCGATCGACTGAATCGAACGCACTCTTGAAATCGAGGAACACAGCTATTATCGGTCTGCGGTACGCGTGGCGCTGCTCTAGCACCTGCCGCAAAGTGAATATATGGTCTACACAGCCACGTCCTGGGCGGAAACCAGCCTGCTCTTCCCTAATCCGAGATTCCCGTTCCGCAGTGAGGCGACGAACGAGAATCGACGCCAGTAATTTTCGTGATAGAATGTGTCCTTGATAGAATTAGAACTGCAGGCGGTGGGAGCATAAGCGAAAATAACAAACAGACAGCGTGTTGTACTACTTCGTGAATCAACCTTAGCTGATGTCGTCAAACGGGCTGCACATAAACGGCTGTTCACCGGAATCCAATCAGTTAACGATGGTTCAGCCTTGGAGCTTAGAATAATACCTACACCAGCTTGACCCGTGAATGCTGCATCAGCATCTCCGGATGCGTAGAACCAATAACGACAGGATAAGCCGGGTGCAGTCAATTCAACAACTCCATTAGGTTCATTGATCCTAGTTTCGGACACGCAACACACATCAACACCCAGTGTGTCTAAGGTGCGTGCGAGTGCAGCCTGTTGACCTGTTTGTCTTAGAGTGCGGACGTTGAATGTCGCCATGGAAACGGGAAAGCGTGGCCTTATAAGGGACTTTTGTCGATAGGCGTCCGATAGGTGCGGTGCGATGGTGGCTGCAGATGGTTCTACTCCAGTGGCACTTCGGTTGCTGTCAAGTAAGCTGGGAAGTATAGAAGGAAGGTTAGTAATGGGGGCCGGGATGGAAGTAAGAGGAAAAGGTGGAAAAGAAAGAAAGGAGGCGCCAGCAGTAGCATGTTTTTGCTTATCCGCCCTGCTGTATGCAACAGATAAGGCGACCCTTGATAATCTGCGCGACGGCCGATGCAGTATGAAGTTTATGTTTGAAGAAAATGTCATGGTTGTGTGTGGGCTGAGATACTGCCAGGGCGCCCAGACCTAGACAGGAGGACGATTAGGGTCCTCATCCAAAGCCTTTGGCTCAAAAGCCTGCCCGCAAGGCAGCGGAGAGGTAGCAATGATTTAGTTTTACAGAAATGGACGCCATCCCATTTCAAACCCCCAACCTGGAGGACCAGGAGACTGAGTTTGTCTGACCTCTCACCATTGACCAATCTGGTAGGAGTAGCTCTCAAGGTGCCCGGAGGCATCACCCAGTATAGCTCAATGGGTCAATGAGGTACGCAAACCGTCGCACCACGTTAAGGTCCAGTCTCGTTGCGACGGGATTAAAGCACGTGCTCTTCGTCATTCAGAGAACTGAACATGTTACGGCAATTGCTCCAATCCATAAGTTTAGCCAAGTGGTGATGTTTAATTCTCAATCGGGGGTATGAGAATGAGGGCACAGATGGTGTTGAGATGATGAAGATTAATGCCTCATGCAAAGGCCGTAAAATGCGCGAACATGCGTTGTAGCTCTAGCTTTACCACTAGCGGAGCTGTTCACCCATTTCTTCTCGGATAGTGGAGTTCCCAATAATTGGAAATGCAGTACAATTACCCCAAGCTATAAAGGCAACACGCGTAAGGACCCCGCCAACTACCGACCGATAACACTCCTCTCTACGATTTCCAAAGTGATGCAATCGATCATCGCCGATGCCTTAATGGACCACCTTGAGGCTCAAAAACTGCTTTCCGACCGCCAGCACGGCTTCCGACGGCAACGATCATGCCTGAGTAACCTGCTACGGGCACGGGATAGCTAGACAATTGCAGCTGACAGCGGCGTGGAAAGGTAAGTCATCTTCTTAGATATATCCAAGGCTTCTGACAAAGTCGAGTATGCCATCCTAATGCTTAAGCTGTCGTTCTACGGTATCTCCGGGGGTATTAATGAACTGGATCCGAAACTACATCAACGTACCGTCCAAGTACGCGTTGACGGAACGCTGTCCTCCCGTATCCCTGTGACAAGCGGAGTTGCATAGGGGTCTATTCTTGGGCCGGAATTCTTCCTATCTCTCAGAGATGATATCACAACACAAGTCGAATCCTCGATGCTCCTTTACGCCGACGATGCGAAGCTGACGCATGATCAATGTTCCAGACGATACCCGCGCACTTCAAAGAGACCTCAACCATCTGCACCAGTGGTCAATGGAAAACAACCTACCGTGCAACTCTTCAAAATGTCGCGTTCTCTCCAACCACGCTTCTTTAATACACTTCCTGGGAGAGTATGTTCACCAGGCCTCGTCAGCTGAAAAACATTTGGGCATCATCACCCAAACCAACCTTTTATTACCTGCTTCCTGCCGAAAAGCAACCACTGCTGCTAATCGCATGCTGGGACTGTTAAAAGGTGTCTTCGGCCAAATCGACCCGCGGAATTCCCGCCTCCACCTAAACACGTTTCTGGGTCCTCACTTGGAGTTTAACATCCAGGTTTGGAGCCCCTGGTTGCTCAAACACCAGCGTATGCTTGAGGCCCAACATCGAGCGACAAAAGTAGTACGGGGTCTCACACTTGCATTATCTACAACGGCTCCGTCGCCTTGGTCTCTTCTCCATGAAATACCGACACCTTCGAAGCGACTTGATCCTTGTATCCGCAATCCTATCCAACCCTGGACACTCGTGCAGCCACTTGCTGAAACTGCAACACTCATGTTCCCATCTTCGTGGTCACCCAGTCCAGCTCATATATCAGCACAGCCTGGTGAACTGCAGATGACATCTCCTCGCTTTGTGAGTCTGCCGATCCTGGGACGCCCTGCCTGCCGACGTAATCTCGGCATCTTCTGTGGATGATTACAAAACTCGCCTAGACCGTCATCTTGCCGATCCGTATCGTGATCTCCCCTGAGACAACTACGTGCAATTTGGAATACCACATCCCCCACTAGCCCGTCATCTTGCCACTGTTCACCAGGCACAACAGCTAGTTCCTCTATCCCCAACGTTCCCGATTTTCATATTGTTGGAGACTTAGTTACCTTTATGCTACTCTTTTTCTTTCTCTAGCTGTAGCACAGCACGTGGTGGGGTGTCATGCTTTGACTGGCGTACATCATATCCAAATGCCACAAAGACCTGATGAAGAAACGGCTAACATGCGGATCCTACCAGCCATAAGATTGCTTAGCCTTTCCAGATGACCTAACCTTATTTCTTAACACCTTACGCGCCATGTAAATCTCTAGCTTTTTCACATGAAATACGATATTCTAATGTGCGAGTCGCGCGTGCTTATCTGACTCTTCTAGATTTCAGTTATCGCGGACGAATAATACACCGGATCAACGATGCGCCACGGAAGGAACATCCACGGGAATTTAACCTACTGTTCCAGTCCGACTTTAACTTGGTTGTGAATACACGCGATGTTACTTCCCAAAAGCAAGTTGGGCCGAATTAGTTCATACTACTACGATACGGAGAGTTTAGCCGCATGTTTTAGGTGCGACAGAGGAAATTGCACACGAAAGATAAAAATGCACATGCCTAACGCGGCAGCAAAACACGAACAAATGAAAGGACTGCAAATGTTGAGAAACGTCGCAAGAAAAACCAACGCCAAGTGCAAGTACGGGGATGAACACGCAACAAAACACTGGTAGCCCAAAGAAAGAAGGTAAACCGGTAACATGGAACATCACTCCAACTTGCCTACGTTGGGGACTGTCGTATTGTCGCAAGACACTTGTGAACTAGTACGATTTCGTAAAGATGCATCCTGTGGATCTGCATCAGATTAAACTCATAAATCAGTTAACTTCGGGTAGCAGCAACTCCCGGAATAACTGTGTGTAATGGTTCGCGAGTCACGACGGACGAGAAAGGCACCTCACTGTGAGATTCATAGACTGGTGATCGGCGTGAAGAAAGAGAAGGCTCATTAGAGCTTCCGTGTAACATTAGCTCGAGTAATAATAACCAAACACTATTGCGTTGGAAGGAAAAATGTTAAACTGACCTGGTGTTCCATCAGAAATCCGGCGGGTGGATTCTCTCAGCAATCATATAAAAAGGAAAAAAATCATAATGATAATTGAAAGCAATAGTGGCAAGGCAGCTTTTACACTACAGTGAAACATACTGGGTATTTTGGAAACCGAACCGTACGTGCAATCGCCAAAAGGTGGACACCTCGGCAGCACTGACATCACAGTACAGCCACTGGCGTTTCAGCTGCTAAGTGTAGTGCGAACGCTGGAACTCTTTTTGATCTTCTCTCAACACTCAAGGAATTTGAGCTGTACACCAGATGTCAATGACATTGAAGAACACTGATAATTATTATTTTTGTACTTCTGATACAGGTCAGGCCAGCTACCACGGACCATAGAGGCTTTCACAAAACGGCGTCCTGTTTCTTGTGCCGGTAAGTGAACAACAACCCCCTCACTTCGACGTTGTGTACAAATGACCCGTTTGGTTGAACTTGCCAAATACACTCCCCAGTGCGCAAGCCGTGTTCTATCATGACTTTAGTCAAATATAAATGCCCAGGGTAGTTCCATACTGAATGCGTGGTTGATCCAGGTTGGAGTTCAAGTTTAAGTTCACTTGGGACTAGTACGATAGGATGAATCCCGTAAGTGTTCCAGCTTGAGCAGGGCGTTGATCCAGCAGTTGTTAGGGGTGCTCCGACTTCGGCATGGATTTAAAACGAAAGCACCCGTAAAAACTCCCTGGTCCACGGAGTTAATGTCCACCTTCCTTACTTTAACAGTCTCTGTTATGCCAGCTACGTGAAGTAAGTAAGAGAGGGAAAAACCGAAGGTAAAGTGTGAGGGAACTCAGTTGAAAGAAGAGAAAAATACCAATGTTGAGGGAATGTACAGATAATAGAATCTAAGTATGAAGATGGGAATTAGTCAGGAATAAGGAAAGATTTCATGTTGCCACCCAAGAGCTTCTAGTTGATGCTCAAACCCTATAACCGTAGCTTTCGTGACATTTTCTGGAAGTAAATTCCAGCGCTCGACGACTCATCGCGATAACCGTGTCCCGTTCTAACTCGATCGGACCGCAGTTTGGCCAGCTTTATACAATGCCAGCGGAAACCAGATAACCTAGCAGGACTAAATGGCCAGGACAAACCAGAGCCAACCTTTCCAGTTATACTACGGTAGGTTAGGCTTAAGCCCCCGCTAGTTCTTCAGATTCAGATTCAGATGGACTGGAACGATAGGACAATCCCTTGAGTGTTCCTTCTTGAGCAAATCGTTGAGCCAGGAAATGATAAGTTGCTAGTTCTTGATAGATCTAAAACGAAACACCCGAAACACACCCTGATCAACCAATTACTGCCCACATTCCCTTCCCTAGCAGGCCGCGCTGTGTAGGTTACGTGAAGTAAGAAAGAAGTAGAAAGTAAATGGAAGATAAAGGGGAATGAAAGTCATTAAAATGAAGGATAACACCAAAGAGTGAAGATAATGACAGAATAAGAACTGAAAGTTTGAAGATGGATATGGTCAGGAGAAGGGAAAGATTTCGTGTTGCCACCCAAGAGCGTCTAACTGACGCTCGAAACCCTTAACCGTAGGTTCACTGACTACATTTTCTGGAAGCGAGTTCCAGCGCTCGATAACTCTACGCGATAACCGAGTTTCCGCCCTGATCCCGTCAGAACGCGGCTTGTGTAGCTTCTTTGATAGTGCATTGAATTTATCTCCAAACTAAGTAGGCGTTCGGGGTACGTTTGTCCCCGTAACCCATCAACCAACAGGATAACGACACGCAACACCCCTTCTAGTGCCATTTTGTCCCGGACAACGCATGGTGGACAGGCCTGGACGCAATATTTTAGGTGGGGTCGCACAAACACTGAGAAGGGCTGCACAAACACATCAGCGATTAGGGTCCCGAAAGAACGGCGCATAAAGCACAACATCCGGAACGCTTTACTGGCCGCCTTCTTCCAGTTGTCTCCAACGTGTAGTGTGGAACAATGAAAGGCACCCAGCTCAACCTGATGAGTCACGTGAGGGAGTTCACTCCCATCGAGCACATAACTGGTGGAGGAATCAGGAAATGTGTCCGTTTCTTTCAGGATAGCGTCTGTCACATTTTTGAAAGTGGGGACAGACAACAGCGTCCTTTCTAGTTAGTAGGGAACGAGCAACCAGCAAGAAACCAGTTGAACTAACGCGTTACCAGCCCATAATCATGTGTTAGTTCCAATGGCAAATTCGGATGAATGGCAGCGATACCAGCGATTTTGTAGGATTTGACACTATGAGCAGTGAATGCACTTTGGCCGGGACTTTTTCCTCGCACTCGTAGGTTGGTAAGGGTACCTCTAGCGTAAACATTCTCACATCTGAGCATGCCTCCATGGGCATGCCTCGCATAGTCGAGAATAAAGTATTTATTTATTTATTTATGCTCTTCACTGAGAACGCAGGATATGTGTAAACAGTGTGGGCGGCAAACCTAATGGGTCCTGCAAGACTGGGATGGATGAAAAGCACACCCTACTCTTCACAGATAGTTGAAATACCGCTCCGAGTTGGTCGAAACCGCACTTCCTAGTCCCATCTAACAACGAGGGCTGGCTAGCCGAACAACCGCTTGGTAGCGCTGGCTGGGTGGTGCGTGTTCTCCCCGTTCCAGCAAATATTTCAGGTCAGTGTACCAGGACGAGGTAAGTTTTCGCCCGGCAAGCGTTCTCGCTATAAACAAGCCACAAATGTCTGGTGGAAAACACTGTGCCGTGGCGGTTGTGACTTGCCAGCAACTAACGTCACCCCACTACTTACCCGGACAACTGTATCTAGTCCATATAGATCAAGCATCCATACAACACTGGCGATACGTTCAAACACCATCAATAATGCAGGAAGACATCCACATTTACCTTAAACTCAGCTACACACGCCTAGATGCACACATACATGCATTCATTTATCAACCCATGTGACAACCCTATTGTTCTATTTACATTAACTGACCACAACTTGTACTCCTAAGATGATCCTGCCGGTGCGGCCGTGCCTCGCTTAGTCAATAAGTTAGCCAAACTCCAGGTGCATGTGAATGTGTCGTGCTCACTCGCCTATGGTAAACGACCGCTACAGTGCGAATCGGACTAAGAACGAGAGTATCACTCGCCCTCTACCTCACGTGAGCAGACAAGGGCAGTGTTCGCCTGCAAAAATGACACATCATAGAAGTGATGCCACCTAACGATAAACGTGGTAAGCAAAAGTGTAGACGAGCAGTTAAGCGCGACGTTAGTGGTGAATCGTGCGGCCTTCCGTTCTGCCTCCACTGTGCTGGTCTAAATCAACTACAAAGCCAGATATAAATCCACCTGACCGATGCTCTCTAGTTCGACAAACATACACAGCAATCCCAATAGTCAAAAGTATAGTAGCGCTCGTGAAAAGGTGTGGAATCTAACGGAAACAGTACAGCAGATGGCGGGCATCAGGGCTTTGCCACTAGAATCTAACAACACTGATCTTGCTCTACGGCAAAACCCTCAGCGCTCTGTCACTACGTCGAGGACTAAAATCAGGCTTGCTAACCCGCCCGATGGCGTCTGCGCCAACTACTCAGACAACTACTAACCCTTTAAGTAGGCAAGACAAATCCAGCGTGACTGCTATCAACTCAACCCCAGAGGCCTTAGCTCACAAGTCGGTCACAACACCTACCCCGACAGCCCAGATCCCGGTAACATGTGTCTCGAAAGCCTAGATAAAGAGGCATCAATAGACTCGCGTACGTCCATCTTCTGAACCAAACTCGAGCGATGCGACGACGGTTTCGCAACGTTGTTTTGTGCCTGCCAAAAGCCCAAAGTTAATAGCCACAACACTCAAACTAACCTTCGCTAAACAGAACCACAATGCGTTAACGTACTTGTGCACAAATGCCCTAGAGTCCAGTTCTGGCACAATAAGGGGAAAGTTGGTAGATGTTATCGACCAGTTGCATTCCAACTGCGATGCGCTTAGTATTCGGGTTGACCCAACTGCGCTAAAACGCGTAGCGTGTCATCCAACTTCAGCACACAACGGAAAACCCCGCTTTCTTCTAGTAAGCTTGAATACAAATGAGGACACAGAGATAGTCCTATCCTCAGCAGTTCATCTTTGCGCCACATCGAGTGGGATAGACAAACTATCCCATATTCCTTTAAAAAGATCGCCAAAGGAAAGAGAAAAGTACGGCGCCTTTCTACTAACGAAAGCAAAATAATCCGCATTTGTATATTGTTTTCCTTAACCACTGGGCTTTCCTGAGTACGAAGCGCAAAAACATGACAGAGGCAGTGTTGCTACATCCGCGAAGCACGCTCGCTGGACCACTTTCTTGATAACTCAATAACGTGAATTCCTTCATCTCCAAACTACAAGGGCTGAGGTCCGAAATGGTTTAAATGGTGTTTCACCCCAATGGTATGACAGGAGTCCTATTGGCTAGTTAGTTGAAGCATCGCTCCAAGTTGCCTAAAGCAATTAGGCTAAAGATTGCAGGCGCACGACCACTAGTTTTCAGTACTTCCTTGGAACCAGCAACCCCAGTGAAATCTCTTCCTCCACAATCCTGCAGAGTTGTAGACAACCTGACATTAACTACACGTGACGGGACAGGGAGACACAAGAGAACATCTCGGCCGGGGATACTCCATTCTGCCATGCAGCCTGGCAGAACTTCAAGAACCACTGACCCATGAATAAAAGGGATTTGCGGCCGACAGACGAGCGGTCATCTTAAAACGAAACGCGAATTTTTTGTCCACCTACACGCTTCTAACATCAAATACACTGGCATGTTGTACCCTAACGTCCTAGGTCTTCTTAGTAAGTTGGCGGAAATTAGAGAACGCCAGACGCCACAACAGCGGGATCTCATTATGATTACGGAGACCTGGTTATATCTTAAGATAGCAAATGCTGAAGACAACTTATCTGGTATAGCACTGCTTTGCAATGACGGAGCTGGAAGTGGCGGCGTCGTAACTATGTCTTACAAGGCTTACCGATATGAAGTTACTGACGACCCAGAGGTCCGTGCTCAACTTCGCTTTGGTGCCGGCCATGGTTGCGGAACAAAAACAAATACCTCCTAGCTGCTAGTTACCGTCCACCAAACTTTAGGTGCGAAATGAACTCCAATGTAAACCTCCTTCCTCAGGTTGCGTTAA